ACACACACACACACACACACACACACACACACACACACACACACACACACACACGAAATGACACCAAGGAAGCAAGAAGTACCTACAAAAATTGTCTTCCAACATTTCCATTTCTTTGCAGCACTCCTGTCTGTGACAGCCAAGTAATTTTTCCTGCGTCTTAACAAGTGTTTTCCATCCCTTATCCTCAGGTGGTCATGTGGAACTAATTCATGTGGGTTGGTAAATCTATCAGAACTTTTTTCTGCCCAAAGTGCAGACAATCACAGCATACCTTAGATGGACCCTGCAGCACTGCAGGCTCTGAGATATTGCTGTTGAGACAGGGAAAGCAGAAGTTTAAGGGCAGGTGTTGAGGGAAACACTGTTTACTAGCATCCTTCAAATGGAAAGAAAGATCCTTGTGCTTGCAGCTAAACACTTAATTACAGCTGTGAATCACCACACTGGGCTCTTTTTCCACATGTGACAATAAGCATGCTAATTGGAGGCAGGTGAATTGCTGTAAAGATTCTTAGCACACAGTCATGTTCAGTAAAATAGTTCGTAGACAGAATGGCCCAAGCATAAATATGAATCAATAAATATCAGTAAATAAGTACCTCCCTCCATCCATAGTAACTGTGAAAACCACAAGAGTGAGCCATTCCTTCTGCACAACTGTTGTAATGTAGTGAATTCCTTGTTTGAACGCAATGCTGTGTGGAATAGCAAGGAGGCCATCTTTTAAGTCCTTGCTTCGACTTCACTCAGTAATGAACTGTGACCTGGAATCTTAAGGTGACATAAAGCTTTCTTCCCCTAAGGTGCTTTTTATCAGGTTATTTGTTGCAGTATCAGAGTGACAGTAGAAAAGGGCCCAAGCATGGTAGTTGTAACACTGGCCTCCCATGTGCAGAGGCAAAGCCATGATGGTGTGGAAAAATCCTTTTGTATACTGTGAAGATTTGTCACTGTGATTGGCTTACTAAAGAACCTGAATGGTCAATAGCCAAACAGGATAAGGTTAGGAGGAAAGCCAAAAAAAGAATGCTGGGAAAAAGAAGGGTGGAGTCAGGAGTCGCCAGCCAGATGCAAGGGGAGCAGGAGGTGAATGAGCCATGCTAATAAAGGTACTGTCACATGGCAGAGCATAAGTAAGGAATGTGGGTTAACTTAAAATGTAAGAGTTAGCTAGTAACAAGCCTGAGCTATTGGCCAATCATTTATAATTTATATTCAGCCTCTGAGTGATTATTTGAGACCAGGCAGTTGGGACAGGAAACATCTGACAATACCAACATATGACAATACCATATTAAGTAAGTTCTTACTTAATAAAGAAAGGAAAATCACATTGTTGAGATTGCTTGGATATTTAATAAGAAACTGTGAATCTGTGAAGAAAGTTAATGTTTGGCTATCATGTCAGATTGTAGGAACATCGTAATCACTTGTAATAAGTGTTCAGGTAAGAGGTGAAAGTCATTACATTTGAGTGTTCCTATATAAAAAGCAACTGTGTTCCTGGGGATGGAACTCAGTTGGCCGAGTGCTACACTAACATAAAGGAAACCATGGGTTTGATTCTCATCCCTGAATAAACTAGGCATAGGAATACATGCATTTGGAAGGTGGAAACAGCATGATTAGAAGTTCAAAGACATCCTCTGCTATGTAGCCAGTTTGAGGCTAGCCTTGGCTAACTAAGAAATTGTTTCAAAAATTAATAAAAATGGTCTGAAGAGATGGCTCAGCAGTTAAGAGCATTAGCTGCTCTTCAGAGGACCTGAGTTCAATTCCCAAAAACCACACGGCAGCATACAACTAACTATGACCCCATTTCCAAGAGATGCAATGCCCTCTTCTGGCCTCCCTGGTGACCTGGTACACTGAGGTTCACAGACATTCATGCAGGCAAAACACCATGCACATAAATAATACAAATGAATAAAAGATAATTAAAAGTAAATAAATGATCATATGAGTAAATAAATAAGTAAATGAGTAAAAGCCTATGTGGTTACCCCTCCTTATGACAGGGCTGTGTCCTACTAAATCTGGTGATCCCCACAGCTTAGTGGTAGGTGTCCTCCCACCCCGTGTGTGTGTGTGTGTGTGTGTGTGTGTGTGTGTGTGTGTGTGTGTGTATGTTATAGTCCTTGGTACTTGATACTGTTGAGAGGAGCCCCCTCTGAGCTAAATAACAGTGGCATGAGAGACATCACAGAGTGCTATCCCAGAAAACCATCAGGGGCTGTGGTGGTTTGAAAGAAAATGATCCTCAAAAGGAGTATCATTAATGGGAAGTGTGGCCTTGTTGGAGTAGATGTGGTCTTGTTAAAGGTAGTGTGTCACTGTGGAGGTAGGCTTTGAGGTCTCATATATGCTCAAGCCATGCCCAGTGAGACAATTCACTTCCTGTTGTCTGCAATATGTAGAACTTTCAGTTCCTTCTCCAGCACCATGTCTGCCTGCCAAGTATGATGATAATAGACTAACCTCTGAACTGTAAGCCACCCCAGCTAAATGATTTTCCTATATAAACATTGTTATGGTCATGTTGCCTCTTTATAGCAATAGAAACCCTAACTAAGACAGAGTCATACCCCTAGCTTGTGGGAGCTCACAGACTCTAGATAGACTGCTAGGGAGCCTACACGGAACCAACCTAGGCCCTCTGCATGTGGGTGACAGTTGTGTAGCTTGGTCTGTTTGTGGGGCCTCTAGCAATGGGACCAGGGTCTGTCCCTGGTTCATGAGCTGGCTTTTTGGAACCTACTCCCTATGGTGAGATGCCTCACTCAGTCTTGATGCAGGGGGGAGGAACTTGATCATGCCTCAACTTGATATGCCATGTTTTGTTGACTCTCATGGGAGGCTTTACCCTTTCTGAGGAGTGGATGGGGGGTTAGAAAGGAGGTGGGTGGAGGGGGATGGGAGGAGAGGAGGGAGGGGAAACTGTGGTTGGTATGTAAAATAAAAAAAATAATAAAAAAAAGAAAGGAAGATGGAAAAAAAAGACAGGGTCATAGGTCAGAACCTCCACTTCAGTCCTTGAACAATGAACTCCTATCAGATGTTAGTGGCCAAGATCTCTAACACAGGGATCCTCGAGTTTTTCACTATTCTTATTCCTCTTGATGATGGATTTGTTGCATGGTGTGAAATGCAATTTCAGTCAGTGAGAATTTTACAAAGGAGCATTGTGGGATTTTTTTTCCCTTTTCTCTTTTTTAGACAGGGTTTCTGTCTGTGGCCCAACCTAGCCTAGATCTCACAGCTATTCTCCTGCCTCAGTCTCCCAAGTGCTGGGATTAGAGTTGTGTGTCACTACACCTGGTATTTTGTTCTTTTGTTGTTTGTTGCTTCCTGTTGCAGATTTTCTCACACAAAGAGAAACTCCTGGGAAGCAATGGAGTTTTCTTCTCCTGGAAATTCAGTAGCCATTGAGACTGCATGTGACTAGGAGCAAGGAGACCCCTGAGGAAGGTGGAGGAGAGTGAGAAAAAGTCAGACACTTGATAATGTTACTGTCCCGGGGGCTTTCCGGCAGCAGGCCTTAGCACACGTCATATGTGCCGCATTCGAACCCCAAATCTTCAGCTCTGAGGGATATCTGAAAGAGAGAGGTTATCGAGCTTCACAGTTTGGAGAGTGTGCAGTTCACAAACACTGCCTAGAAGATGGAGGCAGAAACATGGGGAAATGCAGTTAGAGGGAATCTTGGGCTGGTTTTCACCCAAAGCGTTTACTGATTTCACTTCCTCTTCATTTCTCCTCTTTGTCTTTCATCTCTGTTAATAAATTATAAGACTACCAGAAAACTTCTTTTACTACACGTATTACATTCTCCACATGATGTAGTTTTTGGGTTTTCTTCCCTTTTCGGTCAAATGTAACCTTACTGCTGAAATATTTTAATACATTAGACTTAGAAACACCAAACACACACACACATACACACACACATACACACACACACACACACACACACACACACACACACACACACACACATGAAAAGCTTGGCACTTAGTAAACCACAGTTGTGTTTATTACTAACCTTAGTGTCTCTTGTACTTAAAGAGCCAACTGTGCGTCACCTAGCTTACCCAGTGATAAGAGGACTCCCCAAATACAGCCAACAGCCAGCTTTAATCTGCAGCTGCCCTGTTTGTACTCTGGCCTTGGCAGACAGGGCATTGCTGGGAGGAGGCTCCAGGAGGACTCCAGGTGCTGCTAACCTCACTGCTCCGTGAAAGTGCTTATCCAAGGTGCATAGGAACCACTCGAAAGTGGCTCCATAGATAGATGGTCTGGGCTTCGGTTCATTCAGTTTGTATAGCTGAGCATGCCTGTCTCACTCCCATTTCTAATGACTGTAATTACTTGAAGTAATCTTTCTATCACACAGTGTCCTTTATGATCAAAATGAAACTCATGGGTGATCTTTGCTTAGGAGCAAATTAGTGAAGTCATGCTGGGTGAGCATCAGGGAACAGAAGGCCTGTCATCCAAGGTGGAGACAGCCAGAGTGCAATGATAAGCACTTGGATAACTGGAGAGTGTATTCTTGGAGCCCTCAGGTTGCCAAGGAGACGTGCACTGTGATGGGCTGTTTAGAATAGAGGAAGTGTTCTGGGGACAGCAAATATATCCAATTCTATTTTGCTAGACACCATTTGTAAATATCTTTCTACTTGGGGATGAAAGATTATATGCAAGTGCAATGCTTATAACTCTTACAAAAGACACTTGTCTAAACTTGGCCAAGAAACGTAACATTTTTGGTAAGTTGTAAATGACATGTCCCCCTTTACTGATATCAAGCAGGCCCGGG